GGAGGAGGCACGCACAGTGGACGAGGCCTCAAGCCTCGAGGCATGCGGAAAGGTGGGGCAGCACGCACGTGGGGAAGCAGCCGAGAGCGAAGGCGTGCGCGACACGCCCGATAGGGAAGGACGCGCGGGGCGCGAAGCAACTGTCCTAGAGGAATGCGGAGAGACGGGCGCCCATGCGCCTAAGGTCGGCGCGGGTGACGATGGCGTGCGCGGCACGCCGCGCGCCAACACACGCGCGAAGGAGGGCGGTGCCCTAGTCCTCGAGGACTAGGGCGTTCGGGCGCCGCGCAAGGGCGGTTCGCGTGAGAAGGCGAATAAAGAGATAAAGAGAGTTCCTTGGAGTGCACAACAAGTTATTTAGTTTCTAACTTGCTTTATGAGATCTAGGTTGTTTAGGTTACTTAATATTTTATTGCTTATTTAGTTTCCTAGGTAGATTAGGCTTAGACATATTTTGTGCCTATATAAAGGCCCCATCCCCATGTTATTTTTCATCATCAGTTTTATCAATAAAAATCCGAACTTCTGTTCAAACACTTTGTCTTAGATTTCTTTTAGATTTCTATTGCAATTTTATTCGTTCCAATAGGCGCGGTTGTGGCTAGAGAAACACCTATCGGCGATTCAAGGCTCGGGTTTGTGGCTTGTCGGCAATCAAAACACACGATCTTCATCATTGGTGCTTTCATTTAGAGGTGTTAGATCGTGTGTTTTTCTTCTACCCCATTCCCTTTATTTTTCTTCTTCTTTTTTTTTTTCATCCCCCCTATTAATAAAAAAGAAAAATCATCATCACGAGTCTGCGAAGCAAAGAGCGTAGGGAAGAGAAGAAAGCAATGGCCAATAAGGAGATGAAGGACAAGATCGATAATCTTGACATCCAGATGCGAAGTATGAGTGAAGTTATGGAGGGAAGGCTTGGATCGCTCGACGAAGGCCAAGGCAACACTAACGCCGTCGTGGCATGACTCGAGCAAAGAATAAAAGAGGTCTTACGCGCGTTCCAACAACAACCACCACGGTAGCGCGACGATCATCCAAGGCGCGAACATCGCGGACACGCCGAGCACACCGAGCGCATGCCATCACTACGGCGCAAGGATCGGCGTGAGGAGCGGCGCGCGCACGAGCAGCGTGATGGGAAGCGGTGACCCGAAGACTACGAGTACGAGGATGAGTTCGACCAGTGGTCGCAGGCATCCAACTACCGAGAGCGGCCGAGGCCCGACAAGCCAAGATTTGTAATGTCCACATTCACGAGTAGTGATCCGGAGGCTTGGCTCAACCGTATTGCGCAATACTTCGAACTCAACGAAACTGAAGGCCATGACTGAGTAAGGTATGCAACATTCTATCTTGATGTTGAGGCCAATGTATGGTGGAAATGGCTCTCAAGGATCTACCATAAGCGGCAGCAGATCATCTCATAGGTCGACTTTGAGAGGGAGTTGCTCACACGCTTTGGTACATCCGATTACCATAACTACAATGAGGCTCTCGCACGAATACGCCAGACACGATGCACACAACCATGGAGGTAGCCCGACACCGCGAAGACCATCTAGTTGCGACACGAAGGGGACGGGCGGACGGCCAATTCACCGATAACCGACGCACGGGCCCGATCCATGTAACTGCAGATGCACGACCAGCCATCAGCGCTCGACCACCGGGGCCAGTGGTTAGGCGGCTATCTCCCGAGGAAGTCAAGCGTCGACGGGAGAAGGTCCTATGCTTCAAATGCGAAGAGAAATTTACGCCAGGCCATCAATGTAAGCAAGCTTTTGTGATCGAAGTTGCTAATTCTGATGAGGAAGGACCTGAGGTCGAGGAGGAACCACAACAGGAGGATGAGGTTGAATTACCCAAAGAAGAAGCAGAAATTTCGATGCATGCAATGGCAGGGATTAGAGGGCCAAGGATGATGTGATTGCCAGCTTGGGTCAAGGATCGTAGAGTGATGGTGCTCATAGACAATGGGTCATCACACAACTTCATTAATGCTGATTTGTCCCAGAAGCTGAATTTACCAACCATAAAGATTGAGCCTTTTGAGGTACGAGTAGCTAATGGTGAGAGGCTGCAATGCACTGAATCCTTTCGAAAGGTGCCAATCAAGTTCCAGGGAGTTACGGTAAAGGCTGATCTCTATGCTTTACCCATAGTCGGACCTGATGTCGTACTAGGAGTCCAATGGCTCCAAGGATTAGACAAGGTGACCACCGACTACCGAACTGGAGTTATGGATTTCAAATCTGGAGGTCGGCAAGTCACCCTGAGCACCGGCACTAAGAAAGGAACTAAAGAAGTTAGGTTAAAGAGTATCGGAAGAGTTTGGCGAAGTGGTGGTCAAATATTCGCGGTAGTAGTCGAAAGTAGGGAACCGCACACGGAAGAGGCCGAACAGTAACAAGCCAATGTGCGCGAGCTTCTTGAGGAATTCGAAGGAGTGCTAGGCGAACCCGAGGGCCGACCACCTCACCGGGAGTTCGACCACCGCATACCCCTGATTAATGAGCAGCACACAGTGCATGTCCATCCTTATAGGTACGCTCACTACCAGAAAACTGAGATTGAGAGGCAAGTGGCTGAGATGCTAGAATCGGGGTTAATTTAGCATAGCAAGAGTTCGTTTTCTTCACCAGTTCTATTAGCTAAAAAGAAAGATGGCACGTGGAGGTTTTGTACTGATTACCAAGCTCTGAATGTTGTGACTATTATGGATCGATTTCTTATTTCTAGTGTCGACGACATGCTCGATGAGTTAGCTGGATCATGTTACTTCTCGAAACTCGATCTGAGAGCTGGTTATCATCAGATTTGGCTCCACAAAGCCGACATACCGAAGACAGCTTTTCGTACGCATCAGGGACACTATGAGTATTTGGTGATGCCATTCGGGCTATGCAACGCTCCGTCCACTTTCCAGTTTGCTATGATTTCCATCTTCAAGGAGCATCTACGTAAGTTTGTTCTAGTTTTCTTTGATGACATACTGGTATATTCGAAGTCATGGGTTTAACATCTGGAGCATTTGAAAGTGGTGCTTGAAGTCTTGGAGGCTAACTCGTTCCACATCAAGCCGTCCAAGTGTTCATTCGGACAGGAGATGGTCGAGTACCTAGGCTACTTTATATCTCATAATGGCGTGACGGTCGATCCACGAAAGATAGAGGCTATGGTCGACTGGCCAAAGCCAACCAGTCTCACGCAACTCAGAGGGTTCCTAGGGCTCACGAGCTATTACCGGAAGTTTGTAAAGGATTATGGAACCATCACCAAGCCACTTACGGAGATGACCAAGAAAGGAGGGTTCACATGGACCAAGGCTAGCGGGGAGGCATTTGAAAAACTAAAGGGCGCCATGACTACAACGCCAGTACTCGCGATGCCAAGGTTTGATGTCTTATTCGAGGTACACACAGATGCTAGTGATATTGGGATTGGAGCCGTACTAGTGCAAGAAGGGCGACCCTTAGCCTATCTCAGCAAGGCGCTGGGCACGACACGATTAGGTCAATCTGTGTACATCAAGGAGATGCCAGCTGTCGTCGAAGCTGTGAGATGCTGGAGGCCCTATCTGCTGGGGCGACGATTTTGGATTGTGACCGATCAGCAACCACTCAAGCATCTATTAGAACAAAGGATCGTTACTTCCGAGCAGCAAAAGTTTGTCTCTAAGCTTATGGGGTTCAACTTTGAGATAGTCTACCAACCAGGTCGACAGAATGCTGTAGCGGACGCCTTATCTCGCTGGACAGATGTAGCTGAACTTGATGCTATCACTGGGCCAACCTGGACCATCTGGGAGGAAGTTCGAAAGGCGTAAGAAGAGGATACTTATTGCAAGAAAGTGCGTCAAAAGATCGAGGCAGGAGAGACCATTGCTGATTATGAGCTGCACAACGGCCCTTTACTACATCGAGGTCGAGTGTTCGTTCCCGACAGTGGGCGGCTACGCGAGAAGATCATGCAGCACTTCCACGATTCCAAGATTGGAGGACACTCGGGTATCTACCGCACGTGGATGAGAATAGCCAATACCTTCTTTTGGCCAGGACAGCAAGGTATGGTTCGGGACTACATTGCAAGGTGCGACGACTGTCAGCGCACTAAGGCTGATTCGCGACGACCAAGCGGCCTACTACAGCCCCTGCTGGTACCCGATGCAGTTTGGGAGGACATTACTATAGATTTCCTCGAAGGGTTGCCAAGTTCTAATGGGTCCACAACGGTGTTATGGTCGTAGTGGATCGACTTACGAAGTATGCCCACTTCATACCCATCACCCATCCTTACACAACGAAGTCAATTTCTAGACTATTCGTTGAGTACGTAATGAAGCTGCACGGAGCTCTGCGATCTATAGTTTCTGACCGAGATAGGATCTTTATGAGCAACTTTTGGTTTGAGTTCTTCAAGCTGCAGGGGACTAAGTTGTCCATGAGCTCGGCATATCATCCCCAAACCGATGGGCAAACTGAGGTAACCAACTGAACTCTTGAGCAGTACTTAAGGTGCTATTTCCATCAATTTCCAAAGAGATGGGAAAACTTTTTGCCCTGGGCTAAATACTGGTACAATACTACCTACCATGAATCTACCAAGATGACTCCATTTGAGCTGGTGTACGGGCGT